GAAATGCTATTAAAATAACATATAACGAGTCATTCAGCTGCTAACTGCACCTAAGATACATAAGCCAATCTTCTTGGAAGGCAGCCACGCCAACAGAAGCAATCTGCCATATCAGACCTGGAGCTGTACTCACTCAAAAACGATTTTAATTCTTTATATTCCCATTTTGGGCTTTGAGTCTCCTGCACCTCTAAATAGTGAAAATGGCTGGTGTTATTATCAGGAGCACGCTGTGGAGCTATAGAAGGGGCCCTGTGGTCAGCCTTATAGGCATCATAAGTACGGCACCGTAAGTGCGGTTCTCCCAGAGAACTTCATCCAGGGTAAGATACACAGAGATGTCATGCTGTGACACAGAGCAGAACAGGCAGTGCTAGTCAGTAAGAGAGCAAAATGCTCACTGTAACCACAGGGTCTCAGCTTGAAGATAATCAATCATAGCCTTTTTATATTTCTTCACTGCAAAGACTGCATTTCTTTGCTGCAAAGACTGCAGTCAGACACATAAGTTGAGTCATACCTCTGGGACAGGGTGACCTTGAGATGTTTTTAAGGGGGATTCTGACATCTGAGGGAGGACTGAATGCAGATCTGGAGGATGTGGGCCACCCATGCTCTCCGTATGTGGGAATCCAAGTCCCCAGCCTCTCACATGGCAGTGAGGCAGCAGGATGTGAGGTTGTGTATCTAGCTGGGGAGGATTACAACAGCGTGCTGAATGCCAGAAGCTGCTGCTGTACTTGCTTAGAGAAGCAGGGCCACTGTCAGGATCTCAGCAGGTGGATCTGAGCAGAAGGGAACCTGGGGCAGAAGGTGAGAAGGGTTTGTACTACACCTGGGTCCCCTTGCTAGGCTGGAAATCCCACTCAGTATCCAGTCATCTAGACCATTACCCATCAACCCACCTCGCCTCTTCCTCCCACCAATTCTAATGTATTTCCATACTTTTTCCCTGTCCCTGGTGTGTTTATTATGTCCTCTGGTCAGGCCAGGCGGCATTAATTGTAAAGTCACTGTTGTGGCTCTCTGCATATATTTACAAAATACCTCATTAGATTTGTTTTTAATGAATATTGCATGCAGCTACACAAGACTTTGTGATGATATCTCTTGACATCTATTTATTTTATATGAGATCACCGGGCATTCTCCCTGGCTTTGTAAGGAAGCGTCAGTACTCTGATGGAACCCAGCCCCAATTAAGACTCAATTAGAGACAGATGAATATTTCATAATGAATAATATGTACAAAGTAATTCACCTCTTCTCTCCATGCACAGCTTGCCATTTTCTCAAGTGAATTCTTTATTCAAATTATTCACAGAAAAACAAGTATAAATAATTCTTGGTCTTCATATTGTTCAATAACTGTTGCCACAAACCTTCTGGAGCTGGGTCAGCTGGACATATGCAATTGATAGCACTGATGTGACCTATATGTTCAAAAATCATCAATCAGCTTCCCCAAATTGTCAGAGAGATGTGAAAATCTCAAGATAAACAAATGCTGGATCCTTTAAATTTGCCCTCTTTATCCAGGAGGCCATTTGAATTAAATTTTCAAACTTTTCTCTACAACATAAACAAAAGCTGAAACTTTCATCTAATTACGTTTCCACATCTTTAATGAAAACACCAAATACCAAGATGCTTACGATCAAAACAAGAAATGACCTTTAAGTGTCAGTTTCTCCTTTAGCTGATTCAGCAAATCTGTCCAGCTAGCATACACACTAAAATTAACAGTTATGTTCTGCTTTGATATAATTTTTTTAAGCAGCCACTTAAATTTTGATCCTTTTGTCTCCCAGTGACACCTTCTCTGCGTTAGTCACTGTGGAAGAGCACAAGGGGTGGAAACATGTCATCCAAGTGAGAAAAAAAAAAAAAAAAAGCAGATATTTTCCACTTGCCCAGCTTTATCTTCAAACCTGTCATCCAGAGATCAAGGTTGTCTGAAGTTTACTGATGTCAGGACAGTTTCTTTCTAGGCTACAGAAAAGACAACTTACCGGAGAAGAAAGACAGCAGCAGCAAGCTGAGAAGCACTAAGACACCAGTTGTCTTCATGCTGCGGTAGTGCTTTAGTCCAAGTGGTCTATTCTGGAGGTGGTGTCCCAGCAATGCGCTCACAGACCCGCCTCTCCGTGTATTTATGTGCCCATGAGTAGCTGTCCTCATTCCCCACCTTAATTGTGAGAACTTCTCCACTTCATTTCTAAAGTCATTATTAGTCCTGTCCATGTTTATGGTGCTTTAGGAATGCTGTCCTATCCACATCAAACCTAGAAAGAAGGCCTAATTATATGAGTGATAGACTCAGGCGTGTAATATTTTTTTTTTTCTAAATAATCACAAGATTCTCATATGGGTGAATTTTCAAAGCAGTGATTCATCAGGGAAGCTGGTAATTTTCATTCTCTGGGCCCTTGCTGAATACCAGCTCAGAGGTTTTGAGTGCAGCGTGATGACACTTACTAGACGTTATGAAATAAATCACAGCGTGAGAATGTGTTGTCTGTGAAACCAATTATATGTTGTTCCCTATCTATTTTTGAAGTCGGTTCTAAATTTGTTGGGTTTGGGTGGAGGAACACACTGATGTGACACATTCTCCTGGCTGTGTATGGAGTCCTGGACAGCACTCCTGACTCTCCTCCTTGAACTATTTAAACAGGAGCTGTCAGTGTTTTCTAGTTCTTCACATTCACAAACATGTTAGAGCTCCACTCCCACAGTAAGTGGCGACTAGGGGAGTCTGATGGACGATCATGAGACCTGAGCTCTATTTCCAGCTGATACTTTGCAAAGGTTTGTGTTCAGCTGCATTGTTTGCAATATCTGCTCAGGTAGGAAGAATCACGTACATTTTTCAGCATGCTTTCCTAAGGAAACAAGCCTTATATGAACACTCTGCATACATGCCTGCTTATCGGTTTTCCCAGTAAATTTTGAATCTCCAACTAATTCCAAACAAATTTGACACTGAAGTGAAAGCAAAGATCAAGTTTCTTTCTTCAAATTCATAATAGTAATCAAGTGGACAGCAGACAGATTCGACTCAGGTCCTCAGCCAGCAAGGAAAAGGAATTCTACAGGAGAGCAATGTTATGAATGTCATACAACTGGGAAAGCATTACAGTTTCTGACTTACTGGACATAAAAATCCACATAGCAGAGAAACTGTGACTGATGAGTGAATTCTCTGGTGTCTAATAAGAGTGAATTTATTACACAGTATTTTGTATAATTTAGTTATCAAGTCATTCAGCTGCAGATTCCTTCAAGATCACACTTAGTTCTGCTGCTCACAGAACTGCTTGTTTTCATTTTCTGTTTTCATACATCGCTGCTCATGACCATGGCATTAATACTTCAGTTCCTTATCTACCCAAATGTCTTACTTGCTGCAACATATCTTTCTGGATAAAGCTTTTGAAAATGTACTACAGGGACCAATTCCTTGCAGGCTGAGGAGTGGAAGAGACTAAATTGCCAAATAGGTGATTACCTTTATTACCAAGTTTTCCACTTCTTTATAACATACGAAACAGGCCACTTACTAGTGTAGGTGAGGAAATTCTTCTGCACCTCTGACTTGTCTGGAAATCTGCGATGAAAGAAAGGTACCTGGAACTTGATTTCCAGTCTAATGGGTGTAATTATATTTATATAGTGATTTATATTCCCTTTCCTAACCAAAAAAAAAAAAAAAAAAAGAAGAAGTTCCACCTCTTTTCCTAGTATGGGGTACTGCTACTATTAGAAAAAGGGCAACTTCTGGTAGGAGAACCAACGGAATTGCTAGGCCAATAAACAATCTACCCCAGGAAAGAAGAGAAAGCTTGGAAGTCTCAGCTTTTTCCCCTAGCTATGAGCCTTAGCAACTGACTGCCTTGCAACATAACAAGAGAATTAGAGGTGGAGAAAAGAAGAGGAAGAGCCTGTGTGCGCTGTGTCACCTGGGACTTTTCACCTCTCTTGTTTGCATACTCATTACCTGACTCATGCAAAAAGTCAGCACATTGTCATGAACACTCACATTTATCACTGTGCATCCATCTCACTCCTTATGCTTCCACCAAGATATTATCTCCATATATTAGCTTTCCAAGATAGAAACTATCTTGGAGCTACCAGCACATCTTCTAGCTTTTCTTCCCTAAGGCTGGAAAACCCAAAATCTTTTCCTGAGTTCCCCTGCTCTACCTGTGCTTCAAACCTTCCAGATCAAACATTTAAGACCTTTTCTACAAAAAGCTGAAAGTCTGAGCCTGGTCTAATTTCTCCTCTGGTATTCATTAGGGCTCATTACATCAGTGCCCAGCTTGCTCCAATTTTCTGTGATCAACACAGATGAGTCTCTAGGGAACACACCCTTCAAGGAAGCCGAAGTTCCTAATTTTCTTCCTTATGAGATAGTTTCTTCCCTTTGCAATAATTCTCCTTTTTATAACACATTGCTAAACCCGTCCTCTGCCACTGTGTGACCAAGCAGGGCTCATGATGGTCATTTCACGTTTCTCCAGGGCCATTTTACCTATGCCACCAAGGTTCCTGAAAGGTTCGGTTCCTTTAAAACTCAGTGCTGATACAACTACAAAGCTGGGTTTGCACATTTAGGACATGTGACAGCACACATGACAGAAATGAGAAAAGTGGCAGTATTTTATAGAAGTTTGTTTTCTCTTGGTACGAAAATTGGTAGTCTGGTATGGAGGGACATATTCCTGTCAAGGCTCAGACTGTTGTGTGATGGGCGTTACACCTTGTTCTTTATTGTGGTCTATTTCACAACTACTCCTGCCTGACAGAGAAGCTCTTAAAACCCTACAGAAAATACTCCCAACCTGGAAAAAAAAAACCCTATCCATGGCAAAGGGAGCAGCTGAATTTAATTTATTGATCAGACAAAGCAGAGACCAACACACAGCAGTCTTCTGGTGCATCGAAGAGCATGCTTGATTGTAGACATTACAAGGAGAAAATGAGTGTGAAGACTATGGTATTATTCTTCTGCACTCCTCAATTTGTTTGAGGAAAATAGGCTTTGGATCCGATCTGAGGAAAAAGGGTGAGACCAAAGTTACAAACCAAGAATTTGCTGGATAGCCTTGGTGGTTCTGTTGCTGTTTACCAAAATAAGTGGATGCCCCCATGTTATCCAAGTTACAGAGCAGCCCATTTAATATTTGATCTCTTTCCTGATTCCTCAGGTTATGTAAAAGAGATTCAGACAAACCCAGTAAATTTTGACACCTCCTCTTATAGATAGATCTTAAATTACTCTCACAGGAAGGGAGACCACAAGACCGTAAATGGGAATCTGACTTTAGTTGTAAGGGAAGAAGAACGGAAATGAAAATCACTTGGATTATAGATCTATAGTGCCTATAGAGTCGCAGAAGAGTGAGCGTCAGGACAGGAGCATGCAGCAAGGATGGATTTATCTAGGGGACTCAAAGGGAGCTTTGGGCTTTCCTTTAACAGCTGATGCTCCTGTGTATTTCTGCTCTTGTAATGCAGCAATGGTGCTACTATATGGTGAACCCCATACTTACTGAAATGCAGAACACAACTCGCATTTGTTTCTGTACATTTTGCCAGTATAGCTGCAAACTGGCTCATCCTCCAAGGTGCAGGTACCTTTGACACGGAGGTAGCTTTTGCAGTCAATCTGCAGGTAATAGAGCAACAACAAACTTAACCTTGTGTGCCCAGTATTTCCTTTCATGAGAGCTTTATAATTATTTAATATTTATATTTATTTAATGTTTGTGATATGGTAAAGACTAAAACTACTGTTTAGGGGCAGGGCTCTGTTCTAGCAACTCTCCAAACTCATAGGCAGAGAATGTGCTTGCCTGGGGGAGCTTGAAGTCAGATGCCAAGCGGTACAGAAAATGGGAGGAAAAAACATCTCAGAAATACTATTATAAATAGTGAAATGTCTATGTCAGTGTTTGCAGGCTGGCCCTCTGACTGGCTGCTTTACTCTGGTTGTGTAGTCTAGAAAAGACAAGTTTACAGAAAGTGGATTGTTGCAAGCCATGAACTAGAAAGTACTTCCCACCAAAGGAATCATAGCTACTATCCATGAGTATTTCTGGTAGTAAATGATCCTCCCGGTCCCCTGAAGAAAGGATGAGACAAAATCTCTTCCTCAGCCACTCTTCCCATCGAATGAAAGTCTCAGCAGCAGCCAATGCTGTGTTTCCAGGTCAGGAGTCCTGCACATGGGGGCTTTGTATCTGAGCTACAGGTTTGTTTCCATATCTTTTAACCCTGGCAGACTTCTACTATTTTTCTCATATCCTATTTCCAGGCCATATTCCATGAGTTTACTATCAGGACAATGCAAATGTTTCTATCATGCAGTTATGATTCATTTAATTTATGCCGTAAAATGTATTTCAACAACAGATAATAGTGCAGATTTCTGAACTTTACCGTCACACATTCTCCAGGTCCTATTAGGTCCATGTCAACTCCATTCCTTTGGGAAGAAAGTGAGTTAGGAATGAATGAGTACAGGGCATCCATTTCAGTAATTAAGCTACTTCATTACAGTATCAACATCAGCCAAAAGTTCTGCTAGTCCAAATGTCACTTCAGTGACCTGGACCATTCACTTACGCCACTGCAGAGCAGAAGAAACACTGGTTGGGATAGGTGATCCCGTTGCTCGCACAGATTGGGTTGTACTCGTTGGTGCAGATTCTGGCAGCACTGTCGGTTGCTCTCAGGTAGCCAGCACAGTTGATCTGAAACAGTCACAGAACAGTAGGTTTAATCTCTGCGCTCCATTACATTAGCCCTGCGTAATGGAGCATGGTGCAAGAGACATTTCCCTTTCTCCTCAAGGTAGCAGTAAACATATTGAGCTCTATGGAGACACGAGTTTCCAGTCCTAGTGCATTACATTTGAAGCAGCATGACTAGCCAAAACTCTGCCTTCGAGGACAACACAATCCTGGAATCTCTCTCTTTTTTCCTCTCCTGAAATTGACTCAATCAGGGTCTGGAGTTTTTTACCATGAACTCTCCTGTGAAGGATCTTTGCCCAAAATGCCAGTTTATACATTGGTGATGGGGCAGGAACTTTCGCTGTGAAATGTCTACACAACTTCTGAAAATGTAACTAACATTTGCCTAAGTATTTCTTCAAACATTACTTACTGTGAGAGTACTGAGATGAAAATTGTAGTATTATGTTAAATTGCACAGCCCAGAGTGCTTCTTTACATAATCTCTCTGTTCTAAAAATAGATGCCTCTCCACTCCATGGTGGCTCTACATATTGATAAACAAGCCTTATGATAAATGTTCTCATAGACTAATTTTTTCCATAACAAAATGATGGGTTAGTCAAAATCCAAATTTCCTTTGGGAATTTCCACTTTTCAATATTTTTTCTAAGCCTAAAGGGAAGTGTTTGGGTAATGCTGAAATCTTATTGAAATTAAAAGTTTCAAATTTTAAGTCATGTGTTATACATAACGTTTTAAAACTCACAGTTGAAAGAAGAATTTGTTTTTTAATTTCTTTTGAACAATCAAAATATTCTAAATTTTTCACTTTGATTCCTTTTCAGACAGTTTTGAAATTGTATTTTTCATGAAGGAGAACAGCTATTCCAGCCTACCTAGCTGACATCATTTAACATTGCTGCTAAGGACAGCACAAGGAGGGAGTGGAACGGATCTCGAACTATACCTGAACGCATTTTCCATCATGTTTTTTTTCAATCACTTTATAACGCCTAGAGGGAAAAAGAGAAGAAAGGGAAGCATAAATCTGGTGATAGCATGTAGTCACCTCACTCATTAAGTCTCTCCACTTGTAAAGCCTCGTTGACTAAAAAAACTTTAGAGTTTTGTCAATGAAGAATATCTAGGGAAGACAAATTTCTGAAAATGTGCTAGACCACCCCGTGATTAGTCACAGTACTAAAGGCTTGTGTTTGCTACCTGTCCTGCTACTTTAGGTAATCATGAGCTCTCGTACTTACCAGATTGCTCTACAGAGGAGGCACTCGTTGTCGTAGGTCAGGCCATCGGTCCCACAGACAGGATCGTAGGTCTTGGGACAGGCCAGCTCTGTGTATGGAGGCAGCAAGTACCTTCTGCAGGAGGCCTGCTAGACAGAACAGAAGGGAAAATGTGTCTGTTAGGTCAAAGGGTGTGATGCGTTAATTAAGTTTTCTTTGCATGGGGATACTACTTTTGATCTTTCTTCTCCTCTATTGCTCCTTCATGTTGAAGGAAGGGAGCAAAATGCACTATGTTTCTTACAGTACGCATAGGATCATTTTCTCTGTTAAGGTATCCAGAACTGTAGACATGCATTTCAAATAAAAAATGATCATTCTGTAGGGAATCAGGACAGGGAAGACAGGTAGTTATTTTACAATTGTGTGTATTTTTGTATAGATAGTTTTTAAAAGGTGTGTTTTTCATGAAGAAGAATAGCTATTCCAGCCCAGTTAGCTGACATAATTTAACATTGCTGCTAAGCACAGCACAAGGAGTGGAATGGATCTCGGACTCTACCTGAATGCATTTTCCATGGTGCCTTTTGTCAATTGTTTTGCAACGCCTAGAGGGAAGAAGAGAAGGAAAGGAGGCATAAATCTGGTGATAGTATATAGCCACCTCACTCATTAAGTCTCTCCACTTGTAAAGCCTCAGTGATTAGAAAAACTTTGGAGTTTTGTCAATGAAGAATATCTAGGGAAGACAAAAATTTCTGAAAATATTCTAGACCACTCTGTGATTAGTCACAGTACTAAAGACCTTCGTTGTCTGCTGCTTGACCTGCCACTTTAGGTAATCACGAGCTCTCGTGCTTACCAGATTGCTCTACAGAGGAGGCACTCGTTGTCGTAGGTCAGGCCATCGGGCCCACAGACAGGATCGTAGGTCTTGGGACAGGGCAGCTGTCTGTATGGCAGCCAGTACCTTCTGCAGGAGGCCTGCTAGACAGAACAGAAGGGAAAATGTGTCTGTTAGGTCAAAGGGTGTGATGCGTTAATCAAGTTTTCTTTGCATGGGGATACTACTATTGATCTTTCTTTTCCTCTATTGCTCCTCCATGTGAAGAAAGAGAGCAAAATGCACTGTGTTTCTTACAGTACGCATAGGTTCATTTTCACTGTTAAGGTATTCAGCACTGTAGACATGCATTACCAAAAATAATGATCCCTCCTTAGGGAATCAGGACAGGGAAAATAGTTGGGTAGTTATTTTTAAAAAATGTTTAAATTTTCTCCTGTATCTCTGTGCTGTGCAGAATTCCACTCTGTGTTATTAATCGCCATCTTTTATCATCAACATGTTAAAATATCTTTCCCTGGCAGCTATTTTCTTATTTTTGCAAAAAGAGGTAGTATAATTCTTAGGGGAACTTCTCTTTCTTCCTTTCTGTCTCACCTTTTCTTTTTCCTTCTGTCTTTCTCTCAAGACTTCTCTGGGACAGTGTGATTATGAATTATTTATGTGAACTTAGAAATCAAGACTAAATTACAAAGAAGTTCTATTACTCACCCATTGACCAGCAGTAACAACATCTACAATAAAAAACAGAGATTATAAAATATAAAAAATTACAATGTCCTTGATTTAAATTCCTTTGGAGACATTGATTTCTCATTAGTCATCAAATTCACTTACTTACTCCTGAAAAGTGATAGTTTTTCCAAAAATTTCTTCTAATCTGAGTAAACCAAAAGTAATATCCTAAGATAAAATATTTAACTTTTTTTGTGAAAACAGAATTTTAGACTGAAGAAGATGTGCATTTTTCTCCTCTTGCAGCGCTATTATCCCCATTAAATTTCATAAGTGTAAGTTAGACAGATGTGTCATTATAGCTCTACATCTACACGAGTGTAAATTTCCTCAAAAAAGAAATAATCAGCATCTCTTTCCCAAAAAGCTGACCTCTTTTTTGTTAGGCTGCAGATATATCCCCTTCTTTCAACAGGCAAAGTTTCAGGAGGACTAGAGATATTAGCACAGGCTACAACAGAAACAACTTACCAGAAAGACAACTGAGAAACACTAGCCCAAGAAGGGCAACGATTCTTGTTATCTTCATAATGGAAAGAGTTGGGCACTCTGTTACTTGCAAACCTGTTGTGTCTGTATTCAGCAGAGATGTTTCTCAGTCTCCACTGGCAGGACCATATATTGGCTGTGTCTCTATATATATGTCTCCCTAACCTTGCCCGTAAAGCCATTTCATAAAGTAATTATTTGCTCTGTAAACCAACAGAATTGTATTGATTATTGAATTGAGCCCTAAGGAATGCTTCTTTGTCAGAGAAATGCCCAGGAGAATTGAATAAAAATGTGCGCTACGCCCATCTTGTTAACTAAGGCAACCTTCCTTACTGCGAGTGCTTTGTACTGTCCATGCAGGAAGAACATTGAACCAAGACTAGATTTGGTGAAATTCCACATGGAAACTGGTAAAACAAAAGCACCAATTTGGTCAATGCATTTATACTTGTGCATGGCATATTATATACACTATTTGGACACCAGAATATTTGCAAGACACAGAGGAATAATGGGACAGCTGCATGGTACATCCTAAGCTCTTATAGATATATAACATGGATTTATGTAGATTTTAATCTATGTATTTTAAAGATACTAAGGGCACAGTGAATCTCTCTTCACTCTTTGTTTTTCTGGTGCTCTGATTTCTCACCATTGGGAAGGAATCGGTCATCACAACAGGAAAGCCTTACCTGAAACTTCAGAAGTTAAAAAGATTGTTCCATGTAGAAACAGGAGTTATCCAACTGCCGGCAGTGAGAATGGGTCTGATTAAGAAATGAGAAGAATAACTGGCTTTGTATTTGGATTGAGATAAATTTTCCTTGTGCAGGTGAAAAAGGATTATTAACAGCTAAGAAGTTCATGAAAAATCTGCAGCAGCTGCAAGCAGAAGGCAAGCCCCTGCCTGGTTCTCCCTCCATTACTTGTCATTAAATTTACTGTGTCAGTTGGAAGCCATTTTTTAGAGAAGAGAAGAATAATATGTTGGCCTCTATTAAATGGTTCAGTTCTGTGCTGGTATATGGAAAAATAAATAAGGGATATTGCATAAAATAAAATGTCTTTGTACTAAGGTAGTCAAGGAAGAAAGTGGGGGACAGAACAACATGTTTGTGTTTTAGAAGCAGCATGAGCTGTATATGTGTGGTTTAGAGGCAGGCTGATTTTTAAATAGAAAATAAGAAGTGATTTTTTTTATTATTATTATCCTGGGAGATTTTCAAGTTTCTGCATGAGAAGATAAATCATAAAATCATAGCTGAAAGTGTAACTGTAATCATAAAATAGAGTTTGCAGGATCTGGCCTGTTCATGTCAATGAAATCTCTTTTTTTTTTCCTGAAAAATAAATGACTAATGTTCCTTGGATCTCATTCACAAATATCAGGAGTTAAAGGGTTCTTTTCAAAGCTGTTTTTGTTGTATTCTTAGTATCTCGAGTGACGTGACTGCCAGATTCCTTAACTGACTATAAGCATATTTGGAAGGGAAGAAATAATCACAGAAGCTTTAATATTGATTATTCTCCAGCAAAAAGAATGCTTAAGCCTGAAACAAGGTTTCCTCAGAACATGTATCAGTCATCAGTGGAGATGTGCTTGCTGGCTTTGAGGAGGTTAAGGAGAGTATCAGAACATGGTGTCTCTCCTTTTCAGCCCTATGAACCAATTTCTGCATATCCACTGCTAGATGCAGGATCTCCATTTATCAGAAATTGCACTGCATCTCTGTTTTCCTCTCCTCCCAGGCTGAAATCATATTGGTCTCTCAAGATTTTTGATGAATAAGAAGATATGAGAAGGTAGAAATGAAGCCAGTTGCCAAAGCCTGCTGTAATATTCACGAATCTCATGAAAGTGCATTTTAAAAAGTGAGCTTAAGTGTAGGATTGTTTTTAGCTTGTTCTTCTGGAGGTCTATGATCCGTATAAAAGTCTAATTAAAACTCTTCCAGCTATTTCAAGCTTTTAGAAGGCAAAAAATTTCCATCAAGGAAGCTATAGTCACACAAACAGGATGAACAACTGGTAGCCACATGATGCATCATCTTGTACTAGGGTAAATTTCCCATAATCCTGGAAATTCTTCTAATCCAGATTTTTTTCTTCCGGTAGCATTGGTGTTTCCCTGGGAATCTTTTCTTCTGGTCTTGAGACCCTCTATTTCAGGCTACTCCATAATCTGCCATAGCCTAAGAAATTCCTCATTCATTTTCCTTGCTTTAGTTTAAAACTTGTCCCAGGCTTCATTTGTCTACAAACAGAAACTATACTTTTCAAGTGTTGAAAAGAAGGTGGATATGTGTATAACAATGAGTTTTCATTCCAGCAACAATACTGCTGCCCTCGCACACACATCAAGAATAAAATGGTGCTAAATTCCTATACACTAGGCTACTTTACAGAAAAATACAAAACACATTTCCACGGATGCAACCCCACAGGATCGCTTAGAGCAGATTGCTGTTACCAGCCCTATGCACACGGGGGCAGGACCGGATTTTCTGTAAGAACATGAATTCCATTTACAGCAAGTAGAACCGCTGCTCTGAGCTGCATTCATGTAATAGTCCTCCTTGCAGTTCAGCTGCCTGTTTGCTGCCTACATATCTCTTGTCGCTTTGCCATAGATGATACTGCAGACAACGGCGACTGGAATAATTTGGCTGTCTGGGAACCGCATCCCTGCAGCAAAATGCTGAGGATCTGACCCCACGTCTCCAAAAGCCGCAGGGAGCCCCACCGCAATAGGAATGACCATTCCCCAGAAACGACATCTCCGAGTAATTTACCTTTACAACATCATTTTATTTTTCTCTGCACTGAGGAGGAACATAGTGACAAACAGTTTATCCTGTATGAAATCTCAGAGAGAAACTGTATTACCAGAAAGCGCTAGGTTGGCCTCAGGTATATTTTGGCCAACAACAAGTATAACAATATACTAAAATGGAAGCATTGATATAAAAGAGAGCAGAGTGGAAGAACCACATGTAACGTGCTTATCGGGCTGCAGGCTAATTGAACAGCATTTCCTAAATTCATAGGCATCAGATAATGACGCAAGGTACTGAGGCGCTGCTGAAAGAATCGTGCCATAAAATACTTGAGCAGACAGGCAGTGCTTCCTGCCTTGCTTTTCCTGGAGGAAGAGTTAGATTAGTGAGAAGATTCTGTGTTGTTGTGGCAGGATTTTACTTAGCAACAGCAACAAATAATTTCCAACAAGGTGTTCCTGAAAGAACACCCTTTCCAAGCCAAGTTGCCGGCCACCTGGAGCAGAGGCATTGGGGTGATCCTGCTAGGGCTATCTTCCCTAAGAAGGCAAATACATGATGGGGCTGGTGTCTATCATGCAGCGTAGCAGGGCAAGGACAAGTGTGGAGCCCATGACCTGCACACCCCAGCATCACATCCCAGAGCCTTGCGTGGTCTTGCCCCTAGGAAATTAGACACGTCACCACAACGGCCTCCAGCACACAGACCATCCCCTCTCACAGGAGGGACGTTACAGCTCTGGGAAGGGACTTGTCACTAAATGGTTACGCACAGTCATATGTTTCAGAAATAAATTGTCTCTCTTTAGAGAGCTACTCTCTGGAAAGTGACATACTGTCACTAAAATCATTAAATACTTGACTGTGAGACCGCTGCCTGCCCAACATGCCACACTGCCAACACTTCACTAGCTGTTAATGAATAATAAATTAACACTCTGACCCCTTCCTTTCATCAGACAAGATTTCCAGAGGCCAAAGGATTTCAGAGGATCCTCTACAAGCCCCAGCCAATACAATTACCTACAAGCAGCAGCAAAGTGCTGGGCAGGGTGCAGGAAAGGGGTGTGGAAACTATAGCTAGCACTCCTCCAAACATCTCTATTAGGTCTAATTCTACTCACTGGCTTTCTGCAGTGTTCTGCATTGATGCTCGTTGCAAACATACATGTGGGTAGCCGAGTAGCTACTGCATAGAGAAAAAATGCCATCCTCTTGTTCTGGGAGACAGAGCAGACTGTGAAGGGGTTTTTCTTCCACTGAAAGGTGTGCTCCCTACCCAGCTTTCAAGGGGAATAGATTCAGCTGTGATCTGAACTGACACCCTTCTCTGATCCACATAAGAAAGTGTGGCTAAGCCAGGAAACTGGAATAGGCGTTAGCAGCTCTCAGTGCCTGAGAGACAGTTGTGCCTCAGTATCTTTCTGTGGAGCAGCTACAAAACATTCCCAGCTGTAAAAATCCTTGGCCTGGGTTTGTCTCTAATTATGTCTATGTTCAGGTTTGCTTGGGGCCTCTACAGGCTGTCAGAATATGAATAATATGCAAATGGTAATAAAGGGGTAAGGCAGCAGCTATTTAACCATTGCAGTTAGTGAGACGGACAATTCCTCCTTGGCTAAGCAGATATCTGTCCAGGATATTCTTTATGAAATAAATCAAGAAGACCATTATGCCAGGTTACATTTCTACTACTGCTTTTATTTCAGAAATCTAGGTGAAGCTGTCCTCAAGAGCACCCTTTTGCCTTTGTAGATAGAGTTGATTTCTCTGGAAATCAGAACAATATATTTTCTCTTCTGTAATTCCCTATTAATAGCTGCACACCAGGATTATTGCTGTGACACAATCATACAATAGCTGAGGAAAAAAATCAGCATGAAACAGACTATTAACGTATGTTATGAATGTTGTTTATTTTTATTTAGCAGAGATTTCGGGATTCATCAGGAGCTTCCAAGGTTCAGGATGAGATAATCGGGCAGCAGTGCCACAGGAAACTTTGCAAGGGAAGGTGCCGCTTTCTGAGCTGAAGCCCTTTGAAGAGTTAACACTTCTGAAAATGCAGCAAGGTAAGAGAAGGATATTTTCTCCTGGGGAAGAGGAAATAGGTATCTCAGAGATAGAATATTTGGCCTTCTGATGTTTGTCTGCCCATCCAGTGAAGGATATATCATAGGAGAACAAAGCCAAAACAGAAAACTTCTGAAATCTTTTAGACACTTGCTTTTATTGCTGACATTCAAAGACAAGATAAAGACTTAAATTTAAAGAAGAATAAATAGTCTGCAGACTATTGACGAAATAGGCTTAGTATGTTGGAAGAAAGCTCTTCAGTAAATTACTTAACTCTGCCACTACTGTCTCCTTCTACCTCAAAGAAAGGAATTCCTCATGAAATTCCCCCATAAAAATCACCAGCCCTTACTGAGAAGTAAATAGGTAAGCACAAAATAACTTCAAATCTCCCAGTGAAGGAAAGATAGATTAGTTAGTTAATAGTTAGTTAAGTTAGCTATTTAGTTAGTGAAAAGATTTATTTTCATACATACAGAAATGCATGGCAGAAGAGACATTTATTGTAGTAAGTTATGCCATCAGACCCACAATGTGGGAAATACATCGTACTGCAGATAGAAGGGACTATGATATAGCCTCTGCAGTAAACCTGTGAAATAGATGCAACATCATGGTCACAAAAGATCTCTCAACAACTGATGTTGAGACAACAACAAGTGATGTTAGGAGAGACCAGAAATCTACCTGGGCTTCCTCAGGTACGGGCCAGTAACATACACCCAGAAAGAGCCTAGGGAGTAACAGTTACATGTCAGAAATGCTGCTGCAGTAACTGTGACAATAACTTGGGCATTCACTGACTTCCGTACTACGTGTGGAAACCATCGGGTGGAAATGAAAATTTCACCCCATAATATGTGTGGTAAATATTGCTCAAACAACTGTAGGACTCAAAATCCTCAAATGTTCAATCACGGCGTGATTAACAATGATTTCAGTTGAAACTGCTTTCAGGAGGTAAATGATGGAGAGTAACTAGGAAACACTGTTCCTTACTGAAATCTCCAGGGCAATGGTATCTGGAAAAAAAAAAAAAAGAAAAAAGAAAAAGAAAAACAGGAGGAAAAAACAAACAAACAATAGAAACTGTGACACAAATGTAGTTCATGGATACTAATATAGTTAAAATCTGCAAATGTATGTTCTGAATATTCAGTCTCTAATTCACTGTTAACAAAAAACAACTTAGATAAAAATAATGCCATACAAAATTTTATACCATACTATATGTTATAATATTGATTCTGCAGTGTACATCATGAAGGTTACAGTCAAGATAAAAAAAAGGTTCAATAAAATGAAAAGAAGATAAATACATTTGCTATGTCTCAGAGGATGAAGCAAGACATGTATGCAATGATAAACAGGTTAGTGAGAAATACAGGGCCATACAGACACTAAATATCTTGGAACAGCTTCTTTTATGCATGTCTATAGTAGTGCTTAAATAATTAAAGTATTTTCTAAGAGGTAATGTCTATTAAGCTTCTACGACTTTTTGGATTCTCAAATCACATCTCAGTTTGTGATGGCTACAAGAAAATTTCCGTTCCTTTCAGTAAACTAATTTGTGTTTCTGCAACATTTCAGAGTTTAAATACTGGATATCTGGTTGTACCACGTACATGTCACTTCTTTCATTATGCATAAACTAGCGTTGAGCGTAGAGCTGTTCCCACAGTTGTTCTTACCCACTCAGTTCTGTTGCTAAAATATTACCCCATAAGTGATAGTCTCTGATGTCAAGTCTTTTCAACACCATCTTTCTAGGAGTAAATAAGTCCTTGTAGAATGAAACTCTTTCCAGTCTGAGGATGTTTTCGTTGTAAAGACAGACAGAACTTAAACACAGAGCAATAGGCACAAGCAGAAAAGTCACTCACCTGGGATGCAGCAGAGGGTTAGAGCCAACAGCATCACCACTCCTGCTGGCTTCATGGTGGTTGGATTGTCTGCACGCAGCAGAGCCTGGGTTCAGCTCAGCAGCTGTAGAGCATGTGTATATATGTCTGTGTACCTGTGTGTGCACGTATTTGTATTTGTATTATTCCGAATAATATCCCATATCTGCCTGTAGAGCATGTGTATATATGTCTGTGTGCCTGTGTGTGCACGTATTTGTATTTGGTTTACCGGCCCTTATTCTGAATAATATCCCATATCTGCTGCCAGGGTGGTAATATTGACAGTATTGACTGAAGTAAACCATGAAGAATGTTTCTTCATCAGCAAGTATCCCAGGAAGATAATAGATACTATACACATATTATTTGTCATTATTTCAATAAAACATGTGGCGGATAGCTCCTGAAGGACCGGAAAAAATATCCTGCAGGTGTAAAAGTTCAGATATACAAACCTGAATAATGTATACTGCCAAATTTTCTCTACGTGCATGCATTAATGCTCATTTACATGCAACGTTTTTTTCCTCAGCAAAATGTTGCAGATCTGAAATGAATGTCTTCCAGCATAGAATATCTTTACTTTTAGATGCTTCATCCTAAATAAGGTATAGTTAAATGCTAGTGAAATCAGGAAAACAGTAGACTGTAAAAGCAAGCAATAGGCTACCTCAGATACTGAAAAGAGACCTTGGACTGGGCTAGGGATGGAACTGCTTTTATGAGCATTTGCGGAGAAATTACAAACTGTTATTTTTTCCCCTAAACAGCATTAGCATTATGGATTAGATGTGCATTAATAGCCTGATAGTCTGGTGATCTCACACTGACATGAATCTCTAGCCTCGAGCCCAGAAAAATTGAACTCAATTGGAAATGACTGTTTCATCTATCTGCAGTCTCACCATAAGCTGCTCTAAAGCATTTCAAACAAACACACACCCCACACTTCATTCCATCAAGAGAAAGAAAGAGCAACAAACATCCTCTCTTTCTGCCTCCCAAAAGTCATATGGAAGACATTATTTTTTAGAAAGATTATGTCCAATTTATTTTTATTTCTTTCATGTAGAACAAAATCTCACCGTTTCAATACACCAGCAAAGGACAAAAGTAAAACTAATTTAATGGACAAGGAGCTAATGAAAGAGGTTACGCTCTCAAAAATAAAAGGATTTTGCCTTTGGATTTTGAAACACTGCTCGATTACTTCCTTGGCTGGCAAGTGGTACTCCTATTAGGATTAAAAGGAAAGACAAGTAGGCAGGAACCATGCCTAGGAGAGCCCTTATATGAGAATAGATTAGGGCGGTTAGAGGACGATTCTGAAATGAGGAAAGCGCCAAAACAAGTCACTTGGAAGACCCCGTAGAGAAGGCACAGTCCCACATCTGAAAAGTACAAGCTTTGTTGGCAAACCAGCCTTGCAGAACACTGTATCTTTTAAAGAACTGTAGTCAGGAGGCCATGGATCATGCTTGGTCCAGACAACAACACAATTCCAACTGCTTTTGCTGATGACGTCCACGCAGGCAAAGTGCACCAGAAATACCTTAGGTGTACCTCAACTGGTGTCATCAGTGCAGAGCAGTCTTTTAGCACCTGATTAAAAACAGATATTTAAATGATACTTGGCTACATTAGCCATTTTTGCATTTAATGAAAGGGAGGGGAGCAAGAAGTTGTTCTTGTTATACCCTGGAGCTAGTCGGACATCATCATTCAACACGTCAGAATAAAATATTGCATTAGGCAGAACACTAAACAGGACAAAAATGTTGCTGACTTCAGTTTATTGAGAAAGAAAAAAAAATCAAGAATAAAGTTGAGTCTCCCAGAGAGCAAGATGAACTGAGGTGAGATCTTCAGTTGGGGCTCACCAGTGGAAATCTTGTAGCAAATTCTCTCAGCACTGATATTTAGCATTCTCCAAAATGGCTTAGAGTCACATTTTTCTCCCTGAAAATGAAGAGAGGAGAAAAATGGATTAGATACAGACTACTGCCTGCTCTGATCTACCCTCTCCCTTGGCTCCTACAGAAAGCTGGATAGGATCCTTCCCCAGAGCCAAAGAATCTCAGAGAATCCCATTAGCTATTACATTTCATTTTTAAGAGATGAGTGCAATGATTTAACTCATTCTTAAGGCTAAAATATTTTGGGAAACTATAATGAAACTTCAAATTTAATTTTATTTGCACTAAATGAGAAAACTCCATTAAGGCTAATGGTCTTCAACCCATTCACGTTAACAAACCAGGCATAGCACTGTGTGCTCAGATGAAAAAATGAATGGTTGGCAGGGTGCCTGGTGTTCTCTACTCCAAATCCCTGGCTGACACTGGTCAGTAAGCAAGGAAGCAGTAGCTGTACAAGCTTGTGCCTGTAGGAGGTAGTTAACACAAACATGATCCATATTTGTACATACACAGCAGCATTGCAGAATGCACATTTATTGCTGTATGTTTGGTTGTCAGAGCCACACAGAGGGAAATACTCAGCTGTACAGGCTGGTTTAGGGTAGCCACTGCAGTCAACCTGCAAAAATAGAAGTCTAATATGAAAGATATGAAGGCATAGATAGCAAATGGCCTTGAACTCCTGTCTACACCTTCAATGGCAAAGATAATGATTTGCTTCCTAAATAAATAAATTAGCTTCCTTGCACAATCTGACAAACCGAGTTTCATATTATTAAACTTTTCTAGCATAGAAGAAAAATAGGGCATAATTTCCTGTTTGAAGAGATCTATATCATAACCTAACTGCACCATTTCTAAGCAGCAGCAGTGAACAAGTCATGCTCATAATCAGATTGCATCATGTTCCCAAACTGTCCAGGAAATTAACTGGAAAAATTCTAGTGTCTAGAGAGGTGGAGCTGCCAATAGACGTATATAAAGGACCAACGTCTCTCCTGTAGTCTTACAGTGGGAAGATCATTATCTAACCTAGATACTGTGAGAGGGATTTTAATTTTATGCAATGGGTACTACGTTTACTCAAGGAAATCACAGCGTGAAAGGTGTACACAAACTGTGAAGAGGCTGGACATTCATGGAAGACAAACACAGCAAGACTCTTTGAATACATAGAAAGCACATCTAGTTTAAGAAGTCCAGCAGCTGAGAAGAGTTGGTGGTTGAAAAACTGTTTGGTAAGAGCTATACATATTCACTGTGTTCCTACTCCCTCCTATACAGTCCTTTCGACCACAGTTGAAGTTAGGTTCTTCAAGTCACCATGTGCCTGATAGACCATTATACAGTCCTTTCGACCACAGTTGAAGTCAGATTCTCCAACAAGTCACCATGTGTCTGATAGACCATCAGTCTGACCTCTGTAGCCAGATTCTCAGTTGTGCCCTGACGACTTATTTTTGTTAACAATTTCTCCCCCCAAAACTCCTTCCTGTGCAGTCACTCTCTTTTTCTGGTCTGAATAGCATGGATAATGAGAAT